GGGGGGGGGGGGGGGGGGGGGGGGGGGGGGGGGGGGGGGGGGGGGGGGAGGTGAACATGACAAAAAACTACAATTACAGATGGACTTGTAACTATAAACGTGTCGTATGATGAGAATGTGTCTTTTGGGTATTTTTAAATATTTTTACATGTAGATACATGTATACCTTGAAGAATCGTTCGTCTGGTGAGTTTCTTTGAATGAAATATATTAATGCTGTTATATGTTGTGTTGTGGCTTTATGTTTGGTGAAGATTTGTTCAAGTCAGCATGATTTTTTCCCCTTTGTCTCAGACTTTGATAATGACAAAAGGCAGGGAAATTTAAAATCAAACCGGTTTGAATAGATTTAAAACCAAAAGTTAATTGGCGCAACAACAGATTTAGCTTAGTGGAAGTACATGTAACTGCTACCTAAACGTAGGCACTATATCAAATTAACGACCCCTGTCACTTTTAGAATTCTACAATGTTCCTCGTTGCAAAACTCGTTTCAAATACCTGCATGGGTTGATTAACATAGCTCTCTCATTATGTTTCTGTCACTTCCTTAGGCTTGCCCGATGAGGAAGGACGAGTACAAATTCTCGAGATTCACACAGCCAAGATGAGAGAACACAGGCTTCTGGCTCCGGATGTTGACCTCGCAGATTTAGCAGTGCAAACCAAGAATTTCACAGGAGCCGAGATTGAAGGCCTAGTGCGAGCTGCACAGTCCACTGCAATGAATCGATTTATTCAGGTAATGCGGACTGAAGCCAGAGTGTAAGTCTCTTTTTGCACGAAATATCTAAAATGTGACTAGAAAAATTCCAAACTGACGATAAAGTGCTACGGAGATAGGCCATGTCCGAGTTATCTTGTGCCTCTGTTTCAAAACGAGTCCTGGTGCAAAACCTTTCATATGAAAATGAGTTTGATTGGCATGTAATTGAAGCTGAAGCGAACACTTTTCCACGTGAAAGGTTTTGCACGAAGTCTCGTTTTGATACAGAGGCAAAAGGCAACTCGTGTTACCAATTGCACTGGTTGCCCACTGTAATTGTCCACACTACGCTGGAGAAATTTGAAAGCGCAGCTTCATTTCTACGGTTTGGCCTGCCGTCCACACTAATCCGTCACGAAAATGGAGGTTTTCGAAAACGGTCTTCCAACCGGAGGAATGTGAAAACGCCGGCTTTGCGTTTTAGGGTGGACAGAAAACATTTTGACAACTGAGCCTTTCGAAAACCATTGCGTTACGATAGTCAGGTGATTTCGCTGCCCGTGTTTTCCTCAAGCAAAAATAAATCCAAAATGGCCGCTAATTGCTGCGATTTCCGTGAATTCTCCAGCGTAGTGTAGACGGAAGACATTTGATGCCTTTTCTGAGTGAAACCTCCGTTTGCAAATTTCTTTGGCGTAGTGTGGGCGGGGCCTGAGACACTCGTCACCAAACAAAAAATACATGCGCCTCAGTAAATCTATGAGAACAGTGTAACGACTGTTAGGAAGACCATGTAAATATGATACGAGTTTGTGTTTGAATGAATATTGACTTGACTGACTTGACTTGACAACAGTTAGAATTAATATTATTTATCNCCCCCCCCCCCCCCCCCCCCCCCATCCTCTCCTAATACTCCCAAATCTCCGTTCTGAGATCCAACTCTCAGCTCCCTCCGTCAAAGTTAAAAATGTTTTTGTCTGTGTTATTTCGGTTAGAGAAGTGTTCCATATTCTTCCTTTATTACCCAACTGCAGCGAATATCGTCCAAATAATAGTACAAATGTACAGCCATATTTTACAGTTATTTGTACGGTAGAAAACCTGCTTGCCGCACAGGTCGGCGCGCACACGCAAAACTGTCACACTCTCCCTCTTTTTATTGACTACAGTGACTACGACAGTTGGATCATAAATTTCTTGTTAGATGTCTTGGTGTGTTGTATCGCTGTATATTTTTACTTGTTGTTTGTATTTTGATTCGCCCTACAGGCTCGTCAAAATACGGCACAATTCGTAAAAATATACAGCGATACTACACACCAAAACATGTAATAAGATATACTTATTTCACAGCTCAAGAACAATTTTGAGATCGACCCGGAGGCTGCTGAAAAGATCGTTGTAAAGCGCGAGGATTTCCATCATGCACTGGAACATGATATAAAACCGGTCAGTAAAACAAGTCATTTGTCGATACTTTGTTATAAAATACCTGAGCCACTATGCGCGCTCTCATTGGTCGATAGGTGTGTTTAGATGAGAATTTGTTAATAAGGTTGCGACGTTTTTGATTCGCACAAATTTTCTAGCAGCATTTTGTAAGAGCAATAGGGTACTTTTTCCTTGTTTACATAGCCTCATCTGAACACTTAGGGCGTTGGGAGAATTCTCGAAAGTTATACAAACCCTCGACTGCATCTCGGGGTTGCATAGTCGTCTCGAATTCTCCAACCCCGCCTCGTGTTTAGACGAGGCTATGTAAACACGGAAAAAGTGCTCTATTTATTAAAATGCTGATGGCTATTATAATTGGCCAAGATTGAGGGGATCTTGGCGAAAATCTTATCAAATAGAAAATCAACGCTAACAATAACGTATCAGTCACCCAAAGTCAAGGAGATAATTTGGAAAAAAAAATTTGGTTTACATATGTTCTTTGCGAGAGACCATTGTAGAAAACCAGAAATTTGTATCATGTCTACAGTAGGCCCTCACACAAAAGCAAAATGGTTTTTCACCTTGTGAGCACTATGTAGATTACTTTTTTTGTATTTAAATTGTACAGTTTTTTTTCCTAAATTGTTTGTGTTGTTTTGTATTGTAGGCATTCGGACCTTCTGATGACAATCTCGATCTTTATGTAGCTAATGGTGAGTAGATAAGTGAAGAATTCCTGCTGTTAATTAATATGCAAGTTGTAGATGCTCTTGAACAGTAAAGACTGTAACAGTGTAATCAGCTTACTTGATTGTCACTGGAGGTCGTAGCTATAAAGCCTGCGGTTTGTTTTCCGAATAGAATGGCTCTGACAAGCAGTTCTATAGGTCTTTCTCCTAAGCTACTAATGGTGTCAGCTTCCTTTCAAGTAATTCCAACTAGATGTAACAGACGTTTATTTAACAAATAAAGAAGCCTGAGCCGTGTATTACACCGTGATAAAACACGACGGGTATTTGAGAACACGAGAGAAATGTAGAAAACACGAGCCGCAGGCGATTGTTTTCTACATTTCTCGAGTGTTCTCAAATGTCCGGAGTGTTTTATCACAGTGCAAAACACGGCTTAGGATTCTTCATTTGCTTTATGATATAGATTTTACACGAGCAAAACAATAAAACACGCTTTTTCTTTGTTTTATACTCTGACAAAACATGGGTTTTTAACCAATCAGAGCGCGCGCAGGGTCCTATCTATATCATAAAAGAATATACCCAAAATTTACTACGAAGACAACTTTGTTTTTTTCTTTGTGATTTGTCTTTGTTGTAGTCCACAATTTTTTTGCCACGGACCTTTCTGTGTTCCATTTATATATGCCTCTGTCTATTTACACATCTAGCTAGTTTGTCAAGTAATTCTTTTTCGTTTCATTCGTTTGTTAGGAATTATCCGCTGGGGCAACCAAGTGGAGCGTATATTGGATGATGGGAAATTGTTGTTGCAGCAAACGAGAACCCAAGATATCACCTCGCCAATTACTGTGTTATTGGAAGGTGCGTAGGGCAGTTAAAGCTCATTTTATGAAGCTTCTTTGCGGTTGGTAATCATTGCAAGTATATAAGGCATTCTTTAGACAATAGAAAACAATTAATACCTATAAAATAATTTGGAAGAAACTTAGACTCAAGAAACCATCTTTGAGTAGAAACAGTGGTTTTCAATTGTTCTGATCACCAGGACATTGTAACAGAATCCCAGACTGAAGAAATTTATGAACAAAACATTTATCTCTTAGGAAGTTAACCGTGTAGATGTTGATTGTAGGTCCTGTCGGGTGTGGCAAGACAGCACTCGCGGTGCAGATGGCTCTCTTTTCAGACTTCCCCTTCATCAAGATGTGTTCACCAGAGCACATGATTGGTTTTGTCGAAAGTGCAAAATGTCAAACTATTAAAAAGGCGAGTAGCACCTTATACTCTGCAGATTATACACTGCAAGAACTTAGTGGTACACATGTGTGCCAGAGCAATTTGAGATCGCGCTCTATTGGGATAAACCGTTTCAACCGCAACTGTTTTTGGTTGAGATGGTTAACGTTTCTCAATAGAACACTTTTCCAACGGTTTTCGGTTGAAACGCGGTAACTCCTGGGAACAACCCTTTTGCGTAATCACGTGACATAATCACGCAAATGCTATTTTAACCGTTTCAAACTGATTTGAGGCCAGCTGAAATACAGTAGTTTACCAATCAAACCAGCCGAAAACGGTTTTTCCTCAGCAGAACACGAAACAACCCAACCAGCTCAACCAACCAGAAACGGTTGATTCCAATAGAACACGACCTTAATCAGCTAGACATCCTTGCTAAAACGCTTCCTGTGTATTGTTTGTGGGACCTATTTCGATACATTGTTTAATGTGTGGTCTTTTTTTAAATAGATTTTTGACGATGCGGACAAGTCAGACCTCAGTTGTATCATTGTTGATGATATAGAACGCCTGTTAGGTATGTATCCTTATTTATTGCAAGGTTAATAGATGTCTCTTTAAAAATGTTCGTTTTGGTTTTGTGGTTTCTTTCCACATCTTTAGATTTCATTTCATGTGGTCTTGCGTGACAACAATGGTACGAACCACCGTGATCTACGTTACAGCAGCGCCTAAAACAGCGTTAGTCAGCCCCCATAACACTTCCTGTCCTCAGGGGCAGCTAGTAAAACGAAAATGTAGTTTCGCTGTTCATCACACCTTACTAAACATTACCAGTGCAACTGCGTGATTTACTTTGTGAATTTTATTTGCTTTACAAATTTCAGACTACGTTGCCATTGGACCAAGGTTTTCTAACACGGTCCTTCAAGCCTTGCTTGTGTTACTTAAGAAGAAGCTAAGGAAGGTGCGTAACCAGTTTATCCCTACACACTAACTAGGCTATGATCTTATGATTATCGTCTCGTTTTTAGAGGACTCGGCCCTCTTTTGTGTCATTGTCTGAGGCACGAGAGGTGGCGCTTTTCAGTAACTTGCCACATGGGATAACATTTTACAGTGCACTTCAATGGTAGTCTGCTTGGCAGCCGTTGTTAGGGTTGTCACGCAACGCTTCTCCCCAAGTGCTGCGTGAGGATGCTGATGACGTCAATGTCAATGATGAAGACCATGGTGATGATGACGTCAATGAGAATAATGTGGTCGTGATGATGATGACGATGATGTTTTAAATGGTTTTCATGATGACGTCAACGACACTGAGGATGACGTCAATGGCAATCACAATTACGTTGACATTGAAAATTATGATAACGATAACGACAGCATGGCACTTGTGAAGAAAACAACACTGATTACTCCATTTTTTTTCTTTTTTTTTCCATCCTCTAGGGTCGCAAGCTAATCGTCATTGGGACAACCAGCAGCCGAGAGGTGTTGGAAACCATGGGCATTGTTGAGTCATTTAACACTGTGATCCATGTTCCCTCTCTCTCGTCCACCGACCAACTCAGAGAAGTGCTGCAGGTTAGTTTACACATGCTGTTTCTTAATGTTCATATGAGTCGTTCCTGACATCAAATACACTATGATCCATGAATTGAAACGGTTTGCCAGTCTACATACAATTTAGCTTGGGAGGACATGAAGTTATTGACACAAACTTCCGTTCTCTACCAAACTCTCCAGCGGCAGTTAATCTTGAACACTACAGAGCTATTTTTAACTAGTGAATGCGAAGCTGCGAGAGAGTTATAGCAGTTAGCTGGGGACAAATTCACTCGCTCAGCCTGTAAGGCAGTCAATGGGTCGTGAACATTTTGTGATTATTTAACTGACCAGGGCATTCCGCGATTGGGGCGATATTTGCCCGACCATTGTGAACAAAGTAGCTGGAAAAGCGTTGAACTGATCCTTCGCCTATTGACTCGAGCAAGTGCTCAAAATTAAAGACGTTTTTGCTGCACAAGAAAAGTTGATGTACAATTCAATTCTTTGATCGAACAGGCCAGATGAGTCATGGATTGCGTTGCATTCAAACAACCAGTAACAATACAATATTTTGTTGCAGCATGTGAAGTTGTTTGATGAAGATGAAATTAGGCAAATTGAGAGAAACATTGGCCAGAGAAGGTATGAAACAATCCAATGAATTCTTCCTCGTTTGCTTTGGGTAAGTTTAATCGTAGCACAAGTCAAGTTCGAGTCAACTTTTTTTTTCACCTTTTCTTTTTTATATTTGATATCGTTTGACACGAAACAGTTTTCCACAGCTAAGATTTCGTTTTGCAGTTTGAAACAATATTATCTTTCTCGCTGACCTGCTATTAGTCTATTAATTTTGCGGAGAAGCGTTTTCCATAAAACTAAGTGTTTTACAGAAAATCAATGTCCTCCATGGGTTGGACACATTGTCTCCTGTGCCTCAGTTTTATGTTAATATTAGAGCTCGAAATCTGTGAGGAAAATTAATAAATGACTTCTTCATGAATAAACTCTCCCAATCGGCAGTGAAAAAAGAGTCAAATCTTGCCGTTCTTGTCCCTCGGGTACAACATTTTTACACAGAAATTAAAACCAAAAGACCCAAAACAGGAAAATCTAACTTGACTCGTGACTCGTGTATGACAATTAACAGAACAAAATCTTTTACTGTTGTAAGCAATTGATTGCCTTGATTGAGACGGAAATTTTCATTGGGGGACTTTGCTAAGCAACAGTTACATCTCCATGGCAACAACATGCAATATTGCCATTTCTAATTATATAACTTGCAGTTGCATTGAACTTCACAATTTTGTTTTTTTAGGTTGTTCGTGGGCATAAAGAAACTCCTCATGATGGCAGAGATGGCTGTCCAGGTATCGTTTATGTTCAACTAAGTAGTATTTCTACAGCACTGTTGCTCTCAGGAAGGTCTTTGTCACTCGTTTTGTTCAAGTTTTTGAATTCATTTTTTTTTTTCCAGTTAAGACGTTATATGTTTTTTTTTGTTTCAGACCATAAAGCGTGATCGAGTTGACAAGTTTGTTAGTTTACTGGAAGATGAAAACTGGTATGTACCTTGCAGAGTATTTTATTTTGCGTGTTTCTAGTCAAAGAAAAAACTGTCTAAACTTTTTTTTTCGAAGTCAGTTTTTATAAGGTCAATACAGATTTGACGAGTGTTGTTGTTAACGACTGTCTAAGGTGGCTCCCTATAGTTTTACGATTCTACGCGCGCTGAGGACGAAAGCTCAAGTAATCTGCGCGCGCTCGAAGGAAAACGTTAATGTTTTTCGATATTTTATGACTTCAACATGATAACAAAAAGCAAAACTGACAGTGAATTTCCTCGTGTTTACTTCGGTGAAATTCCTGTAAAATTTGGCAGACTGGTAGTTAATATTTTACTTTAGTCAGAGCTCGTTTTTCAGGGAAATCTATAAGACCAGTTTTTTCGCAGCGGTAAAAGAGGTAAATTTGCAAAAATCGAAAAAACTTCCTGTTCAAACCCTACTTTTTTCGTGTTTGAGACTCGCATCGCGAAGGATGCGATCTGCTGTGAAAATTTTGAAAGATTTCACCGAAGGAAATTGAAGAAAATCACAAATAAAACCATGAAAACAGTAAAAAAACACTTTTGTTTGGGCATTTAAAATTCAAGACTAAAACCCAAAATTTTAATAGAGATGATGAACGTGACTTTTTTGTTGAAGTTTTTATTGAGCAGTTGTGGTTACATAACAATTAACGAGAGTTAATCATTTGGTCGTCTCAATTGTTTCAGTTTGAGAGGCCCACAAGCATAGCCTTGTATCAAGTGACTACAAGAGGTGAGTGACCTGGCAAATGTTACAGCTTACGTGAGTAAATGATTTCAGCATAGCTTGGAAGACCCTCATGGATTGGCACTGCTTTACTGTCAGTACACAAACCCCAAGTCTAAATTCCTGACTACAATGTTGGGTTACTAAATAAACCTGCGTTTATATTTGTAATATGGTTCCCTTTTATCTCCTTAAGGATCAGGACAGAGCAATTCTTTGGTGGAAGACATTTCTTTTTTCAAAGGCAACGTTTAAGTTTGATGGATCATTCTTCTACTAGCCTACCTTAATTTTGAAATCACTTTTATTTTACTCTGTTATAACAATCGACTGGTTTTCCAGTGAATCTCCTAAAACTTAAACCATATCAGAAACCGAAGTAAAAACATGCAACCTCTGTGAAATGCAGGAATACATGGAAGCGGTGCGAAACGCGGGAAACTTACAACTGAATTTTTGCAAGCGCGGTATTATAGGATGCTGGTGCCAAGCGCGGGAAAACTTACAACTGGTGCCAAGCGCGGGAAAACGTGCGTAAGTGAGGAATGGTTTTTGTTTTGCTCCTGATTCATTGGTTGCCAGAAAAAACGCGCTGTCATTGGTTGAGGCACTTTGCAAGGGTTCTTTGGGTCAAATTTACAGACGGGGGAATAAGTAAGAGTTGAAGGCTATGCCATCCGTCTCCGAAAATGCTTAGCCTCGTGACGTATCGTGATTACGTCATGCTGATGTGACTGTTCGCGGAGTACTTATGAGCACTCTTGCTAGTCTCTGATTTGAAGATAAGAATCGGTAATACGAGACTTCAGTGAAGATTTGCTTGAAGTAGTGCTTGTTTCCCCGACTGTATAGGAAGGAGGTAAATAATTTTCTTGTCCTCGACACGGTCAAAAACTGCGCCATTAATAAAATAATATAAGATGAAACGTCACGATAGAAAAGTTTATTGACGTAATATATCAAACACGAAAGACCGTGTTTGAACACATTTCCAAGCAACCAAGAAGAGAGTTGAAAATACGACGCGTAGTGGAGTATTTTTGAAAAACTTCGAGGTGTTAAGAAATGTGGTGAAACACTGTCTTTAGTGTTTAATATATCTTTTCAATCGAAACTAAAACTCAGGAGAAAACGTAGAAAGAAAATCGTAAAAATCTAGGCTGATTAAGATCATATCTACAAGCACCGTGACGGTCATGATTTCCTTTGTTTCAAATTGATAAATCATTAATGCGCTAGAGAAATATTATTCAATAAAGATGATAACTGTAAGAAAGGAGAGGATTATGAGGCTCCAGTGTAAACCAAACAGAAAAAGTCTTTTCGAGAAATATAATATGTGCATAGATTTCTCATTTCACCTTTGGTAGCCTTTTTTAGTTCAGAAGAATAACTAACTATTTCATAAGAGTTGCAAGAAACTGGGCAAGGAGTCCATCTTTTTTTCTTTCCTAGCGTATTCTATAGTCTCGGCTTAAGCACGTAATTCGAAATCCCGATACCACATGATCAACTATAGATGTAGGGAAATGAGTCATTTATTTCTGCCTGTGCAATTTATATACTTTAAAGATGGTTATTCCACTGATAACGTTTACCACAATAAAGGATTGGATTGAAGAAATCTGGCTGTTGTATGTAGTACTTTACAAAGCTGGAAAAGATTGTTTGTATACGCGAGTGCGTGCGAAGAAAGTTGACGGACGAGATGGGATTGGGACGCAATTAGGTGCTACGCAAGCGTAGTAACGCCCAAGTCCCCTTCCGTCCTAAGCCCTCTCCCCATGTTTCAACCTCGTCCCCTGG